TATCTCATTGGGTTAATAATAAGAAAGAAATTGGTTCAGAATTTATCACTTCTGGACTATCAAATGTTTAGTAACTTTCATAGGGTGTCATGTATTCCAGTGTTAAGTATTTGTGTATTTTGGAAATTGGACAGCTTCTTCCCAATAACCATTACCTTGTAGAATAGACACCCAAGAAAAAGCTTCCTCGATCACTACAATCTTAACCTTTTCTGGTCTCTGCTCAACTGTTTTCTACTTTCAACAACCTCATTCAATAACCCAATACCTTGAATAGCTCTTAGTCTATGTACTATGTGAGCAACAGTAAAAAAAAAAACAAACAAAAAAAAAAACTGCTATATGACTATAGCTATGTTATCAGGTACCTAAATATTTTGTTGTAGGTGTTGACAGGTTTTACCAATATATTTTGATGTAGCTACATACACATACATGCACTCTACATAGGCAGCATATATACTATGAATATGTTGATATGTGAATCATAGATACTTGTGTACATGTATAAATATATATATATAATATTTGTAATGCTAAGGGGATTTGGTTTTAAAATTTAAATTTTGACATCTAATATATCTGTAAACCTATGACATGACATTTACCCAAGTTTTCCTCCACCCAGCCAATGATTACCCCCACATTGCATTTCAATTCTCAATCATGTCGGTGTGCACCAAAACCTGAGAAAGGCCTGCTGCTCACAAGATAACAAGATAAGACAAATGCCATGTTGTGGAATAAGAACTCTGTTTCCTGTATTATAAAATAAATGTTTTATTCAGTGCTTTGCTTGTTTGTCTAGGTGGATAGGTAGTGATACTTGGGACAATTTCTGCTATGTTGCTCTAATAGCACAGCCCTTCACCCCCTACCAACTCCTCACCTGTCTATTCATCCTGATGTGGTGGCTGGCAATATGAATGACCAGCACAAAAACCACACAGTGGACAAGTCCATCTCCCATCAAGGACAGACCAGAACATTTTGCCTCCTTGATCTCCAAAAAGCCCTCACTCACTCCTTTACTTCCCTGTTCCCCTTCGATCAATGTGGATGTTGCTTAGAAGACTCTACTTCAAGAAAACCATCTGTTGGTCTATCAAACAAAAACACTTGAGATCAAAGATAACAACCACCTCTTTCCTTTCTACAGAATATCTAAGTTAGCTAAGCTTATGCTTAACATAAGGAAGAGACAGATGAAATTTCTGGGACACGTGATGAGAAAGGAGGGCCTGGAGAATCTGATACTCATGGGATGAATAAAGGGAAAAAGGAGACAGGGGAAAGCAGTGCATGACATATGTGGTGGGCTTGGGCGGGTGGATGGTGGAGCATGGTCTGGGGGAGTTTGCAGAAACACAAAACCTGTTGAGAGCCACAAGGGATATGAGGAAGTGGCGGACCATGACAGCCTACGTCCTGAAAGGACACAGCACATAAAAAGAAAAAAGAACTTCATTCAGCTTATTTACAAGATTGGGTAATATTGTTATTTTTTTTTTTTTTTTTTTTTTTTTGTGGATATATGAATAAAGTATCATTGGTATGCTAAAAATATGTTTATATTTTTTAAAGGTTCAATGTCTAGAAATCCTAAAGAAAATCAATACACTACTAAGAGGTCATTGATAAAACAAATTTCATGCTTTATCAATATATCCCTGAAAACAGTATTGCATGATATTGTTAGTAAACTAACATAAAAGTAAATTTATTTATGAAACCAAAACAAACGGTATGTTAGTGTTTCTTGATATCATGTTAAACTATCCTGATAATGATATAAAAGTAAACATTCCACTGATAAAAATGATCCCATAAATTTCTACTCACGACACAACAACAAAATAAAGTCTGGAATGATTATAGATTTCTACTTAAGAGCACTAAAGATTTGTGGCTCTCAATATTTACATGAAGAAAAATACATTGAAGATACTTTTAAACTTCTATAGTATTCTAATTATTTCATATATAATGCAAAGAGGAAAGCTAACAAAATCCATAAAAAAAACCACATATAACCTAGAAAAATGTAGACACATAATACTATCTACTAATTCAACAAATATTACACCTGAAAAGAACTTATCTATACTTAATATAATATAAAGTAAATAGTAAAATAGACTACAAAATGTGTCATGGAGTTTAAATAAAAGGTTATGTAAACATGAAACTCACTGGGTTAGTTGTTCATTCTATTAGGTCTGATCATAATTTTGACTTGAATTGTACAATTTTAATTCAAGGAGGAAGTAAATTCATTAAGGCAAAAATGTATTGAAAGTGCATTAATTTCAGAATATTTTAGGGTAAATCTCGTTTCTTCACAAAACTGCTTCTTTTACAACGTGAGATAATTAAAAACAATAACAATAAAAACAAAAGCGATAAAAAGCTGAATGAGGTAGGCTAAGTTAACCAGCTAGATATATTGGACATCAAAATTTAAATACACACATGCGTAAACAGTAAATTATCTTCAGTTCTGTATACATATGTGCACTCTCTTTCATACACACACAGACAGGTATGTGTGTGTGAAATATATATCTGTATATGTTTATGGATATCTAACTATATTTATTTATTCGTTGTTTATGTGTACTTCTGCTATAAGCATCCTAGCATAAATACTTTTGGTACTTGAAGACAAACTAATACAAATGATAGATTCACATTATCTAAACAGTCTGATTTTTTGCCTGATTGTTTATGTCTTGGTGAAATCGCAGAAGGAATTACTCTAAAACTAACCATCATTAACATTCCAGCAACTATATATTAGTGTCTGTGAGGGTTGTGATTTTCTTCTCTCTTTTTTTTTTTTTTTGAAATCATTTCACCCCAAGCAAGGCAGGAATGCTACTAGTATGCAAGGGTTTACAGGGAGTGAAGATGAAAGAGAAGACTGAGAATAGGGAAGATTGGGCAAAAGATGAAGAGTGTTTAAGAAGACCAAAGATGGTGATTGATGTTGCATTTAAATTTTTGAAGATTGTAGTTATAAGGAAAGCAAGTTAATGGAAGGACATTCCACAGGTGGGAAGTGCGAGAAAAGAAACTGTTAGGGTAGAAGTGGCAGTTGTGTTTAGCTATTTCAACAGTAAAAGGGTGGGACCCAGATGCCAGTCTAGTAGTACACCTAAATTCATATAGTCAGAACACCAGGGAAAAAAGGTCATTAGAGCAGTTGCCATGAAAATATTTGTAGAAAAGACAGAGGGAAGTCATATCAAGTTGGTGAGAAAATAACTGAAGTCGCGATAACTGGTCAGGATTGATTACATTGCAGATGCTTCTTTGGATTTTGTCTAGAACACCAGACCAGATATGGCAACAGTATTCAATGTATGGGTGAATGGTAGATTTGTAAATGTGCAAGATGAATTCTGATGAGAAAAATTTCTGGGCGTGGCACAAGTGAACCAACTTACCTTGCAGTAGGTACAGATATTGATTTGATGTATTTGCTCCACTTCCAAGTCAGTGGAAAACAAAGCCAAGAAGGTGCAGTGGAGTCTAGGGTCAACCATGCTGATGGCAGACAGAAAAAGTTCTCTATGATGGTTAAATGAAAGCAGTTTTATTTTGGAGTTGTTAAAATTTACAAGCCATTTCTTGCCCCAGTTAACCACTGATTGGAGTTCCTTTTCAAGAGCAGCTGCTATGTTTACTTTATCAAATCTAACAGATTTGCTATTAAGACAGGAGTAAATGGTAGTGTCATCTGCATAAATACCTAGTTGGCAAGTGATCTTGTTCTTGGGTCTCTTGTTGAATGGCTGAAGATACAGTAAAACTCTATTCCAAACAAAATCAATGGCAAGTAAAACTGACCTTAAAACCTTTTTGTAAGTTCTTAAATGATTCTATCAAGACATCCCGAATGTAGTACAAAACAAATAAACTTTAGTTTTTGCATGAATTTCTGGTATGAGGAGCTATCATTATTTACATATGGACTGTTGCCCTCATCTTTGTTGTTGTTGTTATCACACCTTCGTTGTTGTGCCCTCCAGCCTCCATAAAGTGCTTGTTGATCTGGGTGACCTTCAGGGAATTTCAAACTGACTCTTTTATTTAATCTACAGAGGTAGATTGTTCTTGTTCTGCTGTCCATGTCCAGGGCTGTCTTGTCTACTTATTTAGTACTACTCAGTTATTGCTTACTCTATTTCCACTGATTCCAAGTGAAAATGGTGCAAGAAAGGTATTGAACTTGCAAGTACGGTCACTAAATTCATGAACCAATGCTTTAATTGACTAGGCTATTGTCAAAGTGGAACAATTCTGAGTGGAGAACTCAAAACCTTAAACTTAGCATACAAATAAATGTGATATGGGAGCCATTAATAAATAAATAAATAAAGAAGTGACAGCAAAGCTTCAACAACACCTGCAGTAAAAGGTGAAGCCTCAAGTATGACAAGTATCAACAACAGCACTTAACAGGTAGGTTAGGTTTAAGGCTCCAAGTTCAATTTTGCGATATAGTAATTGCAAGTACAATCCCTGGTCTGAGCAGTGTGTACTTGGACTGGCTAGAAACATTGTGAGCAATAACTAAATAAGAACTGGACATGGACAGAGGAATGAGAACAATTTACAATCTGTTAGAGATTAAATAAAGTTTTGAGTTTGAAATTCTCTTACGGTTACCAGGATTTTACAAGTACAACAGCCAAACTGTTTTGATATCAACAATACGAATAAAGATGAGGACAATAGTAAATAATGCAAATAAATAAACTCTTGGTTTATTTTACAAACAAACCTTTCAGAAGGTTTATTTTTTCCCTAAACACATTTATTACATTATTAAATATTCCGACATTTATACACCGGGTGGAAAACACATATTTGTAAGTCCAGGGGGTCATGTTCGAACCTCGGTGTTGGTAGTTACTCATTTTCTTCCTATATGACACGTATAAATGATGTTCTTCAATATATTTGATGATTGAATTCTCTTTTTCTTTTTTCAGCATGTAAAAGGTGAAAGCCTCCAGAGATACGGTTCGTGTCCTATCCTTCATATCCAGGGAAGATGTACTCCTCCCAACAATAACATTAATCCAGGTTGGTTATTTTATTTCATATTGCAAAAAACTTGATTTGGGCATTTATTTTCTGTTTATGTTTCTAATAGGTGTTTTGTTTAAAATAATAGCATTTCACAACTTTCACTTATTTCTAATTTTTAATAATTAATTTAATGAATTTATAAGAAAAACTATCACCAAATTCTAGGGAAAAAAAAAAATTATTATTTATTTTTCTGGGATGGGTAGTAAGATCTTACACTCTGTGGAAACAGGGCAAGAAATAAGTGTGTTCTAAATAAGAACTCAACAAGATATCCTTAGACATGATCCACTGAGTGAAAATGCTCTGTCTCCATAGATTAAATAAAATGTTTACTTTGATATTACTTGAAGTTTACCCGGATCAACAAGCACCAGAGGGAACAACAGCTGCAATGTTATGGTAATAACAACTAAAATGAGGACAAAAGTATGAGTGCAAATAATGTGAATTATTTATTTTTGTAAATAAATTTGAAAATAAATCCTAACTGTATCTCAATTCTGTATTTTACATATGAAAGTACTCACCAACATATTTGTTAGAGTTTATTAATAAAATATTATTGGATAGTACATTGAATATTAAATAGAACTGTATACAGTTCTATTTAATATATGTAATGCATAGTTTCTTTTTGTACATTTATTACAAATTTATGAAATTCTGGCAATTTGGGAACTATAAAATATATTAAAAAGTACACAATTTTTTTATGTGAGATTCTGAAAAATGAAATTGTTCCCAAGAATGAATATGGATGTAATCTACATATTAAAATGAGTGTTTGACTGATTAACAACTGATTGGAGGTCATTTTAGAGAACAGCTACCAATTTTAGTTTGTAAAACCTGTTAGATTTACTATTAAGACAGGAGTAAATAGTTGTATCATCATCATAAATACCAAGTTAAGGATGACATTGGGAAGGTCATTGAAGATAAGATGCCACATAGGTCGAAAGATAGAGGGACCCCATATTGAGAAATTATCTAGAAACACAGACATTCTACACAACCTTCATTACACAATTTGTTAAGAATAATTGGATCGAGTCCAATATCTGGCCAGAGAAACCATATCCCATGAGACTGGAGAAGGCCACCAGCATGCCAAACCCTGTCAAATGCCTTCAAGATATCTATAGCCATAGCATGAGGCTAGCCATTTTTATTTAAAGCCTGATGGACAAATTCAGTAATAACCATTAATATATCAGCAGTAGACTTAGAGAAATGAAAGCCATATTGTTTATCTGAAAGAAGGTTGTGTAGAGTGAGATGCTTAACCAATTCAGAGTTAAGTAGAGTCTGTAGTACTTTGCCAAAAACACAGGTAAAATATTAACAGGATAATAATTCAGGGGATAAGAAAGTTCAGCAAAGTTCTTAAAGACAGGAAATACAGAAAAGGATTTCCAACAAGCTAGAAAACAAGGCAAGCAGTAAGGCATTTGTTGTAGAGTTTGGAGAGAATAGGAGTCAGTGTAGGAGTATATTTCCTTAGGACAATTACAGGGATTGCTATAGTAATATCGATAGTAATGATAGGCTTGTGATGTAGCATCTGTGGAAAAAGAGGTCACAAAATGGAATATAAGTCATAGTCTACAAGACCACATAAACAATTTTAAACTCTATCTGTTTTAATCTGACTCCTGTAAAGGTAAAACATTGGAGTCGGGTGCTTGCTGAACTGGTAGAATGAGCTAACCATTTTTTTCATCATCTTTAGCAATGGATTTTATGTACGAGTTCCACTTGAGGTCTGAAATGTAGGTGAATCCTTATAGCCTTCTTGAGATAGCAGCTGTTTCTTGCGACTGGAGAAAACACAGTCTGGTTTGTGATGGTGAAATGATACTCGCTTGTTTTTTGATATTACAAGCCAGCTTTTTTAAGACATGTTTATACTGTACATTTTGTTTTATTTTTTGTTAATTTAAAAAAAAACAAAAAAAATTTTGAAAACTGAAGATATTAAAAAAAGTTGAAGAGCCCCCATACAAAACAATTGCTATAATTGTCTGCGCTCTACTATGAGAGTTATAGATTGACCAAGATACTCATGGGATGTGACCAAATGAAATTCATTTTTCAACATGGTTCCCCTTTCAGTTCTCTCTCTCTCTATATATATATATATATATATATATACACACACACACACACACACAACTCTCCCGTCGAATTTGATGTATTAGGGTCAAGCAGATCAGTTCCTAGGAAACTGACAGTCTGACAACAGCACATGAGATTTGATTACAGTGGTGAAGGTTTCATGCAAGACCATCCACACTTTTTGAAGGGCTGAATACAGAGACCTGGTGCACTACGTGCCACAGGGTCCCCAAACAACCCTCCGCAGGTTTTGAGTTCAGAGTTGTCCTTCTCCTAGGC